CTACTCAGTACTAACACCTGAGACAGGCTCTCAGATCCTAGCTACAGGAGTCCATGGCCCTTTGCCTTCCCAGACGTTTGGTTTAATATTGGGAAGAGCTAGCTCCACACTTAGGGGGCTTCACGTTGCCCCCGGGGTTATAGATAGTGACTTTACAGGTGAGCTTAAAATACTTGCCTCCACCCAGGCCGGCATACAGACCATTGCCCCCGGAGATCACCTGGCACAGCTCATTTTGCTCCCCCTTAAACATGTTAATAATAATTTCTTTAAAAAGGATTTAAAGGATGGCCCTCCTGGGTCCTCTGATGCATATTGGGTCCAACAAATTTCCCATGATCGCCCCTCCCTTAAGCTTTTTCTAAATGGCAAGCCCTTCTTAGGAATCTTGGATTCTGGGGCTGATGCCACAGTAATCTCCAAAAAGGACTGGCCTTCAGCCTGGCCCTTAACAGCCTCCTACACCCACTTACAGGGAATTGGCCAGTCCTCCAACCCTCAGGTCGGCTCCCAAACACTAACCTGGACTGATGAGGAAGGCAACTCTGGCACTGTAACTTCCTTTGTAATCCCGGGATTGCCTGTTAACCTCTGGGGACGTGATATTCTTACACAAATGAATGTTATTATGTGTAGTCCTAATGAAATTATTGCCAAACAAATGCTTAATCAGGGATTCCTCCCAAGAAGAGGCCTCAGCAAGGATGCACAGGGTAGAAAATCACCCATTCCCATTACTCAAAGACATGACAGGTCAGGATTGGGAGCTAGCCCCTCACCACCTTTTCCCTGATGGCCATTGACATCCCTGCCCCCCACACGGATAAGATTTCTCGGGAAATGGATTACCCTGTATGGGTTGATCAATGGCCTTTAACTCAAGAAAAAACTGAGGCAGCAATGATGTTAGTTTGGGAACAGCTTGCTGCTGGACATATTGAACCCACAAATTCCCCATGGAATACCCCCATTTTTGTTATAAAAAAGAAGTCAAGGAAGTGGCGACTTCTCCAAGATTTGAGAGCCATTAATAGGGTTATGTTTCCCATGGGGGCCCTTCAACTGGGCCTTCCATCTCCTGTAGCCATTCCTTCTGGCTATCTCAAAATTGTCATTGATTTAAAAGATTATTTCTTTACCATTCCCTTACATCATGAAGATATGCCTCGTTTTGCCTTTAGTGTCCCTCAACCCAATTTCCGGGGCCCCATGCCTCACTACCAATGGAGGGTTTTGCCTCAAGTTATGGTCAATAGTCCCACACTATGCCAAAAATTTGTGGCACTTGCTGTTGACCCCATTCGAGAAAAATGGCCCTCTGTCTATATTCTCCATTACATGGATGATATTCTTTTGCCTGCAGCCCAGCAAGACTCCCTTTTTGGCTGTCTTCATGACCTTAAAATCAGCCTTAGCCATTGGGGTCTTCAGGTGGCACCTGATAAAGTCCAGACTGCTCCACCTTATTTATACTTAGGTTATAAGCTACACCATACTGAAGTTCTGACACCTTGCATTCAATTGCGGACTTCTCAATTAAAAACTCTAAACGACTTTCAAAAACTTCTTGGAGATATTCGATGGCTGAGGCCTTATCTTGGCCTGCCCCCTGACATCCTAAATGGAGACCCAAACCCCTTATCACCTAGAACTTTAACAAAAGAAGCACAGTATGCACTTGATTCTGTTGATACAGCTATTAATAAACAGTCAGCTTGGCAAATTGACTATTCCCTACCTCTGCTTTTTATTATTCACGCTACTAGCCATGCCCCCACTGGTGTATTTCGGCAAAATTCTCCCACTCAAAAACGTGGTTTCCCCATACTCTGAGTATATTTGCCTGCTTCTCCTAGAAAGGTTCTTGCTACTTACCCATTCCTCATAGCTCAGTTAATCATAAAGGCTAGAATACTTAGCCGCCAATATTTTGGCAAAAATCCCAATTCATTTATAATACCCTATGGACGGGAGCAACTAGACTGGCTCCTTCAAACCACTGATGAGTGGCCTATTGCCCTTGCTTCCTTTGCTGGTAATATAGATAATCATTACCCACCTAACCCTTTAATCCAATTTGCTAATCTTCATCCCTTTGTATTTTCTAATGTAACCTCCCCCACACCCCTTGAGGATGTGCTCCTAATTTTCACTGATGGTTCAGCTAATGGAACAGCTGCCTACGTTATTGATAACTTAGCCCCCCCTTTCCAAACACCCTACCCCTCGGCTCAATTGGTAGAACTATATGCTGTTGTCAAGGTTTTCAAAGAATTCCCTGCAAGGCCATTTAACTTGTTTACTGATAGTGCTTATGTTGCTCACTCGGTCCCCTTATTGGAGACAGTTCCCTTCATTAAGCCGTCCACTAATGCCTCAGCTTTGTTTTTTGAGCTA